TTAGTTTTGTCATTATGTGGGTTAGTGATAAAAATGAAAAAATAAATAAATACTCGTAGATAAAACAACGTATTTATTAAAATAAGAATAATAATGATTTAAAATAAATTATTAATAAGGTATCTATGTATTAAAAAAACTATAAGTACAAATGTTTGGAATGTAACAAGTTATATTAAAAATAAATATAAATATAAAGATAATAACTTATATCTAAAATTAAATCTAAAAATATTTACATTAAAATTCTACATCCGCTGCTGATACATTACATGATGTGCATTACGACTAGGCGTTATTAATACGTCCTATTTCTTATTTGGCTGCGATATAAATTCGTTTCGACCGAGTGCAGCCGAAGCCTTAAGCCTTAAGTTAAACAGCCCTCGCTCGCGAGATACGCTTTTGGCCGCAACTATAAAGTACAATAAACATCATCCGCAAGATAGACTGAACACCGGGCATCTCGGCTTCGGAACAGAAAAAAAGACTGGCATATACGTAACAGAAAATCTGTCGCCTGAAAATAAGTATCTCCATGCGTCGGCGCGCGCTCGAGCTAGGGAGTCGCAGTATAAGCATGTATGGGTTCGAGGCGGCCGCATTTACATGCGAAAGATGGATACATCGGAATACATACTTGTGCGAAACTCAACTACATTGTAACGGTTATCGTAAGCTAATCTAAATTTTCTCAAGCTAAGAGTACAGTTGATAAGGCTTAAAATTCAATACGTTAAATATTTACTATCAAAACGTACGCGGCCTCCGCACAAAAACCACAGAGTTTTATAATAGTGTATTAAGTTCTAATTACGACGTCATTTTCTTATGCGAAACATGGCTTAACAATACTATATACGATGGCGAACTTTTTAGTGAGCGATATCTAGTGTACAGGCGCGACCGGGAGACTAGTGGCTTTCATAGTAATAAACCTGGCCCTGGTGGCGGGGTGCTCATTGCTGTCTCCAAACATATCTGCTCTCGTAGGATGTCACATCTGGAAAGCGACTGTGAGGATTTATGGGTGGAATTAGAGATAGGCGGAAGAGGTAATTCCTCTGAAAACGTATTATTGTGTTGTGTCCATCACCTTTATAAAAAAAACATTCTTGATTGTTACATTGAAAATACATATCGTGTGTTGGAATCAAATGCAAAAACATTAATTATGGGCAACTTCAATTTGGGTAACATTATCTGGGATAAACGTAATACGTCTTCTCCACTCAGTTTTATAACCAAAAGCTCATTAGATAATGCTCTACTGGATTTTATTGCTCTTAATAATCTCACTCAATATAACTATATTTTAAATGACAAAGGTAGAATTCTTGATCTAGTTCTCTCCAGCACGCTGAAGGTCAGTGGTGTGGTGCGTGGTGACTCTCTTCTGAGTAACCCCGACTCTCACCACCCTCCCTTAGTTCTAACATTTTCGTGTTGTGATCCGCCAATTTTATTGCCTAACGCTCAAAGCCAAAGATATAACTTTCATAAGGCGGACTACGATAAAATCATAACACATTTAAATTCAGTTTCATGGGACTGTATACAAATGTGTGATGTATGGTAAGAGAATTTATGCTATTTTAAAGAAGATATAAGTAGTAATTAAACTCACAAAAAGTTTAGTATGGTAATCTTACATCTCATAGGTAGATTTGAGACTTCTTCAAAGTTATTTGAGTAAAATAAAAGTAATAGTCTTGAAAAGTAGGCATTATTTTTCAGTACTGTCTGTGACCACTGTTGACCAAATTTGTACCTCAAATAATCTTGCTAATCTGCACTTCTCACAAGATCAAGTACTCAAAACTCTTACTGGTCTAGATCGGGCCAAGGGAGCTGCACCTGACGACATACCCCCCTTTGTTTGTAATCAACTGCCGCGAAGCGTTATCCTTGCCTTTAACAACCATTTTCAATATGTCTTTAAAAACGGGTACTTTCCCTTCGGTCTGGAAACAGGCACGTATTGTCCCAATTTATAAATCAGGAGACGCAGGATCCGTCAGAAATTACAGACCAATATCCATATTGTCTGTCTTCGCTAAAGTTTTTGAATCATTTGTTTGTCCTGTTTTGGCTTGGCACATAAAACAAATAATCTCACCCCAACAATCGGGCTTTTTAACATCTCGCTCTACAGCTACAAATCTCGTTTCGTTTGTGGACTATGTCTCTAAGTCTCTCGATTCCCGCTTGTCTGTGGACACCATCTACACAGACTTCAGTAAGGCGTTTGACATTGTAGATCATAACATCTTACTTCATAAACTCTCAATTTTGGGCATCACTGGCAATCTTCGGAATGGTTCTCTTCATACCTCAGGCAGAGAAAATCGAGAGTTGTGGTAAATGGTTACTCCTCTGAACCATTTCTACCTACGTCTGGTATTCCTCAGGGTTCCCATCTCGGTCCGATCCTTTTCAATATTTTTATAAATGACCTAGCGTCTGTTTTTAAACACGCGACCTGCTTTATGTACGCAGATGACATGAAATTGTCCTTGAAAATCAAAGACCACAGTGACTCACTCCTATTGCAAGAGGATTTGGACCGGATGTCTTGGTGGTGCATTAAGAACAGACTACTCGACTATTTTGAACCTCGATAAATGTAAAATTATAAGATTCTCAAGGTGTGTAAATGTTCCGACACCTATGTATAATATTGATGGTCATCCTTTGGTAGAAGTGGACTCTGTTCGAGATCTGGGTGTGATTCTGGACAAAAAGTTGCGGTTTCATAAGCACGTTGATGGAATTGTTACAAGGGGTCTTCAAATGTTGGGGTTCGTGTTGCGTAATTCTAAAGAATTTAAGAGGACTTCTACAAAAATATCCTTGTACAAGTCTTTTGTCCGTTCCAGCCTCGAATACTGTAGTCAAGTCTGGTCTCCATTTTATGACCTTTACGTGAAACGCATAGCGCGTATCCAGAAGCGTTTTTTGTGGTATCTTTCGTACCAAACTTACAAAATAACGGATCTACCCTCATACTCATACTTACGTATTTTAAATTAAGTACCCTGCAACAGCGGAGGCTTTTGCTGGATTTCATGTTGCTACACAAAATCGTCAATGGAACCGTAGACTGTCCATACCTACTAAGTGCAATAAATTTCAAGGTACCTTTTAAGCTAGTGCGTGTCAGCCGATACGTCCCCTTTTCAGTTGAAGGCAGTAAAACTAATTTGGGTCACCACGCCACCATACACAGGTTACAGAGGCAATATAACCAGCTCTGCAAGACATGTGACGTTGATATTTTTGCTGATAAGCCTCAAAAATTCAAACGAAAAATTATGCAGTCCTTTACTTTTAACGAACATTTACACCTAGTTTTAAGTTTATAGTTGTAAGTTTTAAAAAACATATTCGTTGTCCACATTGCATGCCGTGACAACCTTTAATTAAGATAATACTTAGATATAAACCTTCCTGTAATTTGTAGTATTTACATTGTGTTCGTGTACTTCTTGTTGGTTGTCCTAAATAAATCAAAAAAAAAAAAGCCACTGCCGCTGGAACCGAAATCCGAGCCAATTGCCTAAATGTCTAATAAAATACGCAGATTTCCGATTACCTTTCGTTTCAGATTATTATTTTTGTGATTTCTTCATACATTTACGGGCTTAGGACCGTCTAATCTAATAAGCTATAGTAGAGTAGAACTACATGTTAAATTTTATCTTGCATTTTAATGAATTGATAAACCGTTTCTTTTTTTTGTCTACCGTATACTGTATGTAACTTATTAGGCGTATATAAAAGATCGAAATCAACTGATTTACAAACTAAACTGATTGATATTTACAAAATTATTTCTATTTGTTTCTTTCTAAACAAAAACTAGCACGTCTTTGTAAATTGTTTGTTAAACTTCGAAGCTTGTCTCTATCACTTTTATCTTATTAAATGTGTTTACTATACACTGCTTTAAATGATTAAATCTCAGTCCTTCTTCTGTGTACACCAATCGTTTTAGTTCGGCCCACAAATAAAAGTCTAGGGGTGTTAGGTCTGATGATCTCACCGGCCAGTTCACAGGTTCACCGCGATCTGTCCACCTATCACTGAATTAGCCGTCTAGATATGCGCGCACAGATCGTTCGTAATGTACTGGACATGCATGTGCTGGAAGTAGATTCCTTGCGGATGGCTTAGAGGAACGTTATCCAACATTGTGTCGATGACGGAACGTATCATTTGCAGATACGTCACTCTCGTCAATCAGCCTTCAATCCATATTGGATCAATGATGTCGTCGTTAATGATTGCCGCCCAAACGCTAACACTGAAACGAACTTGATGAGCATGTTCGTTGATTTTGTGTGGGGTTTGGAAACTCCACCAGTGCTCATTGTGCACATTGTAAATTTCAACGCGGGTAAATCTCGACTCGTTGCTCCACAAGATGTTAGTCTGCGCATGGTCCTGTAGCCAACGACAAAACTCCTTGCGTGGTCTGGGGTCAGGCGTAAGCAAAGTTTGCATACGTGAGCAACGGTATGGATAGTCCTTAAATGAAGTAGCTTCTATACCACATATTGGCTTACGCCAAACCAACGAGCGGCTTGCCGGGTGCACCTTCTCGGATGTTGTTGGAACTAGTCCAATATTGCGTCTTCAATGTGTCGACAAGGGTGGCCGGCACCTGCCTCTGGCAAGGCTGGGAAGCCAGAACTGGCCACCATCACGTAAGCGCTGTTACGTTCGTAATATTAAATAAGTGCTGGGAATTTGGGGATTTCGCCAATTCTAAATTGGTATATCGCCCCTGCGCAACGTTTTTAGGTGTTCTTCTTCTGCGTACATTCGTCTCGCATCATCTAAGTTTTCACCAGACAGGATACAAAATCTCACCATTGCTAGGTACTCGACATTAGAGTATTGGTACATGTTTAAGATACCTATTAGCGGGCGGCCGATACACACGCGGAAATATAAACAATACGACGTCATGCTGTAGCTAATCGCAGGTGACTGAAATGAGAGCGCAGGTGGCGTTTGCGCCTCTGACCCTGCGAAAGGATATCAAAGAAATCTACGGCGGGTGCGACGAGTGTCAGTTGGCTTCAATGTTATTGGGCGCTGGCGCGGTATCGCTACGCTGCCGCGTGTGTTCGCATATGATGTTGCGCGCTAGTACTTACCGTACAGTAGTAAAGCTAGTGCGCGCTTGCAGGTGCATGCTGGCGCACCGCGCGCGTGCACACCCGGGTGCGGGCGCGGTGGCGCTGCGCTGCCGCGTGTGCGCGCGCGCCTTCGCGCACACCAACTCGCTGCGCCGCCACCTTCGCTCGCACACGGGCGAGCGCAACTTCCTTTGCAGCGTGTGCGGCAAGGCGCTCTCGTCCGCCGAGCACCTCAAGTTCCACATGCGCATCCACACCGGACACAAGCCCAACGTCTGCAAGTACGTACACATGTGTGCTCCAAATTTCAACCAAATCATTTCTTATGTTTACGCGAGCACTACACATTTAAACTAAATTATATGAATTTTATCGCTTAAAAAAATTAATATACACTTAATCAACTTCGAGCAAAGAAGGCTATATTGTCAGATCTGTAAATTGAAATGAACTCGCTCACCGTTTTTTTTAAACTGAATCCCTATTTGTAATCAAATTTAACAGCACTAGTTAAATAAACCGCAACGACTAATTTGCAGAACTTGCGGTAAGGGGTTTGTGAAGAAATGCAATTTGACTTTGCATGAGCGCGTTCACTCGGGTGAGAAGCCGCACGTGTGCTCGCACTGCGGCAAGGCCTTTAGTCAGCGATCCACGCTCATCATACACGAGAGGTACGTGGATAATATATTCATTTTCGTGCAACCTAATGCAACACGTTACTAACTATCCGACTCGAAGAACCGAAGCCGCCAAAAACTTTAACACATAATTAGTATGAAATCTAAGGTTTCATCTAATTGGAATTTTTGGGTTGATGCACAGATGTTTCTGCAATTCTCAACAGATCGTTATTACATCTTAAACTCAAAGCGAAATATGTAGAGTCAGTATTGGCAAAACTTAACTAAATTGTGTATTGGTGGCGTTAGTGACGCCATATCATCCTGTGGAGCGAGAGAGGGAAGTGGAACAAACAAGGGAGGGCTGAAGCGCCTCTCTGACAACAACTTAAAATGATAATAAATTGCAGTGGTAACTATGTTAAATAAGGCAATCTATGGAGGATTCCTATGTTCAGCAGTGAACTTTTCATTAGCTGTAGTGAATTAAAAAAAATAAAGCAAAGTTTGGAAATATATTGGTTGTCCAGTAAGTAGTGGATCAACATTATACACCCTACTCTTTTCATTTTATTAATTTATTTAGATGTAGTTACGCAAAGAGGATTCGACACACAAACAGCTGCTTTTAAACTAAGGTTGTTTAAAATTTAAATCTACGGGCTGTCTTATAAATAGTAGACTAATGTTATATTGGTGATAAAAATGGACATTATCTAATAAAAACACTAAAGTTTATTGTCTCAATATTGTACAACGTACACAAAATTTAAAATTCTAAAAACAACTTGAGAGTGTGTGACTGTCTGTGTGTGACTGTCTGTGTGTGACTGTCTGTGTGTGACTGTCTGTGTGTGACTGTCTGTGTGTGACTGTCTGTGTGTGACTGTCTGTGTGTGACTATCTGTGTGTGACTGTCTGTGTGTGACTGTCTGTGTGTGACTGTCTGTGTGTGACTGCTGTGTGTGACTGCTGTGTGTGACTGTCTGTGTGTGACTGTCTGTGTGTGACTGACTGTGTGTGACTGTCTGTGTGTGACTGTCTGTGTGTGACTGTCTGTGTGTGACTGTCTGTGTGTGACTGTCTGTGTGTGACTGTCTGTGTGTGACTGTCTGTGTGTGACTGTCTGTGTGTGACTGTCTGTGTGTGACTGTCTGTGTGTGACTGTCTGTGTGTGACTGTCTGTGTGTGACTGTCTGTGTGTGACTGTCTCTGTGTGACTGTCTCTGTGTGACTGTCTGTGTGTGACTGTCTGTGTGTGACTGTCTGTGTGTGACTGTCTGTGTGTGACTGTCTGTGTGTGACTGTCTGTGTGTGACTGTCTGTGTGTGACTGTCTGTGTGTGACTGTCTGTGTGTGACTGTCTGTGTGTGACTGTCTGTGTGTGACTGTCTGTGTGTGACTGTCTGTGTGTGACTGACTTGAAAACGTGTCTTTCTATTAAAATGTTATTCAAGCATAATTATCGGTAGCATACATAATAAAAGTCAAAACATTTGCAAATTTACTAAATATATTCTGTGATATTCTAACAAAGCTGGTGTGAAAAACATGTATGATAGTCTTGTGGAAGATTATTTTAAAAACATCTACAGTTCGCACCAAAATGAAAAAGGTATATCAATGTTAAAAATAAAGTGAAGTAAAAAAATAATTTTAAATTAGACTGCGGCTTCAATTCCTTTAGATACATATTGATTCCTGTACATATTCAGAGATGTCTCAGTGATCAATAAATTTAATACAGGAAGCTAACACCAACTCATTCGAGGCGCTCTGAATATCGACTTCAAGATTGAAAGAGCCAGTTTGATAAATTCCATGCTCCGATCAAATGCGTTTCAAACCGTAGCAGGATCCCAACGTTACCGGTTGGAAATCCGGAATTAATTCGAAGTTAAAGAATTATCGGCCCCTCTCGCTTCTGAACCACGTCTATAAGCTGTTTTCGAGGGTCATTACGAATCGACTCGCGCGGAGACTGACGAATTTTAACTACCCGAGCAGGCTGGGTTTTCAGGAGGCTATGGCACCATAGACCACATTCATACAGTGAGGCAAATGAAAACAACAACAAAACTTTCAACAAAAACAGGCCAACATGCATTGGGGCAGCGCCGCGGACACTTTCTTGCCCTGAAACCCTCTCATAAATGAGAGGAGGCCTGTGCCCAGCAGTGGGACTTATATAAGCTGTAAGTTTAACATAGATTTCATGAGACATTTAAACACCACAGGCTCAATGTGCGAACATGTACAGGGTTGTCTTACGAAACCTATCCAGTTACATCGTGAGACTGAAGCTGTCCACAAATGTACTGGAAGATGTCTTTAAAAGGATAAATTGGAATGGACGGGTCATTAATATAAATGGCGAACTCATCTCTCACTTCTTTGCCGATGATATCGGCGTTATGGTAGCGTAATGGCTGCAGGAACTAAATGAATCCTCCCAACGTGTCGGACTGCGTATGTATTTTAATAAGACGAAAGTCATGTTCGACGGTCATACTAGATTCGATTATCGATGATGGTGAGATTCTTGAAGTTGTTCAAGAGTATATCTACCTCGGCCAGATAACGCAGTTAGATAGAAACATCTGCGAAAAAGAAGCCGATAGGCGGATTATTGTTGGGCTGAGCAGCATTCGGGAAGCATCGTCAGGTCTTCTCGTTGCCCATACCGCAAAGCTTGAAGACAAAAGTCTTCGACCAGTGCGTACTGCCTGTACGTGCCGAAACGAGAACACAAAGGGCCGATCCTCATTTGCCGTTCTTAGTTCGTTCTTGGTCCGATCTCGGTCTTATTTAATATAATGGAACGGGGTTCGACCGAAACTTGACTGTTACCGGATAGTATGAATGCACACACATATTTTTTACTTCGGTCGGATCGGATCCAGAACGAACTGTGAACGGCATTATAATGAGGATCGGCCCGAACTGTTCGACTACTCCAAACTCGAAGTCACATAGCGGGCGATGGAAAGAACTATGCTCGGAGTTTCTATGGTGGATGAGATTCGTAACGAACTCCGGAGAATCAAGGTCACCAACGTAGCATTCCGTATTTGCAGGCTGAAGTGGCAATGGGATGGTTACATCTGTCGCAGAAGCCATAACCGTTGGAGTAGGCGTGTCATAGAGTCGAGATAGCATTTTGATAAACCTAGTGTGGGATCTCCCTGACTAGATGGAGCGACGATCTGCGCAAGGCGGCTGGCAGCAACTGGATGCGTGAAGCCGAAGATCGGGCTAAGTGGCGCGCCTTGGGAGAGGCCTATGTCCGCGTATGTAGTGGACTGCCGTAGGCTGATGATGATTCAATACCTTAGAATGTTTACGATTAATTCATGTGGTTCTAAGAATTGTTTCTCTATTTCTTTTTCATTTGAATCGCTTTGTAATGATCGACGTTAGAATTTTATGGTTTAGAGTGATTAAAAATATATTTTTATTCATTAATCAATATTCGTGACCATTTTTCAGACAACTTTATTTTATATACGTGATAGAGCCATGCTGCAGTTATATCAGTAGTAGTATAGTTGTAGCACGGATGGGTCGGTTCGACCGGGGAAGGACCACGCTCTCACAGAATACCAGCGTAAAATAGTAGCTTAACGCTGCTGCGTTTCGTATGGTGAGTGTAGAGAACCGGAGACCCTTTTTACTGGAAACGAGGCATTCCATCTTAGTCCTCACGGGTGACAACGCATCTGCATTTTGATTTGTAATCGAGGATAGATGTAGATGTCTATGGGCCGCAGCAACCACTTACCATCAGGTGGACTGTGTGCTCGTTTGTCCCCCTATACTATAAAAAAAAATTCAAAATGCTTAGCACCGGATGATCCCATCGTTGTTGCTGATTCTGTCGCTGTTATGGTACTTCGTGGAATGGAACTTTTTATTCCATCATCTACAGTGCCTATCGGAGGCAAAACTTAACCATAGTTTGGTCACTCCTGTATAATTGCATCAAGCCAAAAGCAGGAGTGCTACCGGACCTGGGCTGACGCTTCAACGTTTAGAGATACAAACATCAGCACTCTTGAAAAAAAGTATGATTCCGCCTCCAGATCCTTTAAAAGTGTAATTGCCAAGGCAAAGTCAGAGCACAACGGCAGATTTGGTGAGAAACTAGTTCGACTTCCTTCGGGAACACTTGAATTCCGGTCTCTCGCCAAGGCTGTCCTAGGGAACTTCTGCCATCTCTGTTGTCACTGCATAGAGAAAATGACTCACTGAGCCGTGCCGCAAAGGACAAAATCGATCTGCTGGGCTCTCTCTTTGCGTCCAACTCGACTCTTGATGACGGGGGGAACACACCGCCGATCATCCCGCGGTGTGAGTGCTACAGCTTTGGTCCACCCGATCCCTAAAAAAAGAGACTGCGCAGACCCGTAAAACTACAGGCCTATCGCAATCACCTCCTTGTTGTCCAAAATAATAGAATTCAATATAAATAAGATCGGCTCGATTCACTGGCGCTGCGAAGAGATGTTGCATAACTTTGCATTTGCTATCGTATTTACCACGGGGAGTAGTACTCTGAGTAATTATTCGCATGAATTCTAGGTGTCAAATTTAACCAACGCATATCGCGACAAAACTTACGTTGTCAACCACATCATGTGGATACTTGGCACACAGTAGTAGACCTACTGTGCGATTTACCAGTTTTCGTCTTCGCATGACTACTTTGTAGAATCGTTTAACACCGGCAATTTTTTTAATCGATACGACTTAGGAACCTTTAGAAACAAGCTTACCTACTCCTTTTTAAAAGGCCGACAACGCACCTGGAATTCTTCTGGTTCTGGTAGTTGATCATGGGCGGCGGTAGTCGTAGCATCAGATGAGCCGCATGCTCGTTTGCCACCTCTTCATAAATATTTTAAAAAAATTTTTTAAACATCTCGCATGAGCTGTGATGATCCTTATAATTATTTTTTTTAGCCTGGTGAACCTGACCAGGATACTAGAATAAAGTTATTAAATTATTGTATTGTTACATTAGTTTACATGGTTTCTGTTCTTAAAATGAAAAGTATTTTTTCTTAACAATTAAAGAATTCAGTATGAGTTAAAAAAACAATA